CCCCCCCCCCAGGGGATGAAAGCCCTGCTTTGTATCAGGGCACTCCCTTGCTCAGAAAGCTTCGCACTTCCCCCATATGAAAGGTGCTCTAAAATACTAACCCTAGCTACCACAACAGACTTATGCGCTATTTATTCCCATCATTTTATATCATATCCGTTTCTCTTTAAGTTTACTTATGTTGAGAGAGAGAGAGAGAGAGAGCGAGCGAGCGCGAGACAGCACGCACCCTCCCCCCACCAAAAGAGCTGGGGAGGGGCAGAGGGAGGAAGAGAGAATCTCAAGCAAGCTCCACACGCTGTCAGAAGGGAGCCTGATGTGGTTCTCGAACCCACAAACCCGAGCTGAAGTCAAGAGCCGGACGATCAACCGACTGAACCACCCAGGCGCCCCTCCATTTATTTTCTAACAGATACTCTGGCCCGAATGGAGGGTAATCCACTCACCTTATTTTGACTTAGGTGAGCAGTAATTGTTAAAACAGTTCTGACTGCTTCATTTTCCTTCTATTTTGTCATTACAAAAACTCCAATGAGGAAAAAACGTGTTTTTACTTCTAAGCAGAGATGACTGTCCTTCAACTGTGTAACCCCTATGTGGTTAGAAGTAATTCTCTCTGACAACCAGAATGAAACCAATGTTCTTAGAACAGAACCTACTCACAAGAGTTCTCAGGACTGTGATAAAGTCTGAGAGTAGGGAACAGGCACAAATAATGTAACTGAAATTGTTCCTAACTTTGCTGCAAGAACCAAGCCCAGAGATCACTTGAATTTGGAGAATTCAAACCAGAATAGTTCACAGAACCAAGACTAACAATTTGGAGACATACTAACATTCTGTCTGATTATCAAATGTCCTCAAAATACTTCTGGGACCCCACTCTACCTCAAGCTCAGTAAAATATTCCCTTCCCAGTTGCAGAAGTCATGATCCTAAACATGGTATGGAAGAATTCACAATAGAAAAACATACAGTTTTAAGGGAAATCATGGGTTGAGAGAAACTCAGGAAATTCACAAAAACTTTCTTTCATTTCTTAAAATAAAACAATAAAAATACCATACCAAGTTAATAGGTATAACAAGGGTATTTATTGATCTTAAATTAGTGATAATGAATATAGGACATTTCCCTTGTGGATCTCTTGATGCCTAGACACTTTGATGATCTCCCTCGTGGGCAAGTTAAAAGGGTGCTTACATATAACTTCGCTTTTTGCAGCTAATACGCATACAGTAATTACTTTTCTGCTTTCGGCCTCCCAGAAACTCACTGCCTTTTAATTTTATGACTCAACTCTAGTCCCTCTCCCTAAGTCAAACTCAGAGAACCAG